CCAGAGCAAACTAATTGATGCAGGGGCCAAATCGCTGCCTCACAACTCTTAATGCCGGCAGCTCACAAAGTAGAACTTTTGCTCACGAGACGCCGCAGCTTAGAGGGAGCACTGCCACTGTTCCCTCTAAGCTGAGTTGGTGTGAGCCAGCTCACAGTTCTTTAGCCTCCGGCTCACACATTTTTGCCTTCGCTCAGGGAGGATGTGGCTCCCGAGCGAACTAACTGATGCAGCAGCCAAATCGCTCGCTCACAACTCTTAATGCCAGCAGCTCACAAAGTAGAATTTTTGCTCGCAAGGCGCCGCAGCTTAGAGGGTGCACTGCCACTGTTCCCTCTAAGCTGAGTGAGTGTGAGCTAGCTCACAGTTTTTCTAGCCTCCGGCTCACACATTTTTGCCTTCACTCAGGGAGGATGTGGCTCCCGATTGGCTCCCGAACAAATTGATGCAGCAGCCAAATCGCTCGCTCACAGCTTCGGTGCCAGGAGCTCACAAAGTAGAATTTTTGCTCACGGGACGCCGCAGCTTAGAGGGAGCACTGGCCGTGCTGGCCGTCCCGCCCCTTAGGGTAGCCGATCGGGCTCGCCCCCGTTCCCAGATACTGCTTTCCCCAGGCGCCACCCCCAAATCTCACAGGATCTGGCCATCCGTACGTCCCTGTGTGCCAGGTTAGGGTCGCCAGGCCACCGTCGGTTGGCGAATCCACTGCTTAGGGTCAGGCCCAGCTGGCATCGACCAAAACCTGGGCCTCTCCCGTTGTGGCTCCGGCTCTGGGGAAGGGACTCCCTGGTGAGCTATGGGGGGGGTCCCCCTCCTCAGAGATCTTCAGGAGGCACCACGAGGCCTGCCTGTTCACCAGGGCCCTTGAGGGGAGCTGAGTAGCCGGCAATGCTCCCTCTAAGCTGTGGAAACCTGTGAGCAAAAGTTCTGCTTTGTGAGCGACCGGCATTAAAGTCGTGAGCGAGCCATTTGGCTCCGGCACAAATTAGTTTGCTCTGGAGCCCTCCTTCCTGAGCTAAGACAAACGTGTGTGAGCTGCAGGCTAAAAAACTGTGAGCTAGCTCACACTAACTCAGCTTAGAGGGAACACTGGTAGCCGGTGTCTTTTTCGGGGGGGTATTTTGTGTCTGTGTGTGTGTGTGCCTTGAAGTCACAGTGACTTCTGGCGACCCCTAGTGGGGCTTGGCTGTTTCGGAGAGGTGGCTTGATATTTGCCTGCCTCTGCGTCCCGGGCCTGGTATTCCTCGGAGGTCGCCCTTCCAAGTACTTGCCAGGCCCGGGTTGGTCCTGCTCAGCTTCTGATGGGATTGGGATCGCCTGAGTTACCCAGGTCAGGGCGGGAGGTGGGTGTCTTTTAAAGCGGAGGGGGAGATTTGGGCTCTGCTATACTATTTTCGGGTTCTAACGGGAAAATGTTTTTAACTGTTATTGTAAGCTGCCGTGGGCTGTGAGGAAAGCGGGGATATGGAAGTTTAAGTAAAGCCCGGCACGTACCATAAGGAAGGCCGGTGGGTGATGGAGAGCAACGCTATCCCAGCATCCTTTGCGGCCTGGAAGATCTTGCCTTCCACGTCGATGCTGACGGCGCTGGTGCATTCATCCAGGAGAGCGTACTTCGGCCTGGGGGAGAAGAGGAGGTCCGGGAGGGTCAGCCCAGACCGGTCTGCGCACCGCACGTCCTTCACGCCACCCTGGAAAGGCGGGCCTCCTCACCCACAACAGTTCACGGCTGAGGTGGCGAGAGACGCTGAAGTCTGAGAGGGAACGAGACCGGGGAGTGTGTGTGACGGGGGCGCCCACCCCTCCACACTGGGACTCACCTATGGTAGAACATCCGGGCCATCCCCATTCGCTGCTTCTCGCCGCCTGACAGCACGTCCTTCCAATCGCTGACGGCGTCCCAGCCTGCCCCCGGCCGGGGAGATAAGAAATGTCATGGGTTGCCTGGGAGACAGAGTCCGCCTCCCCCTCAAGTCTTACACGGTTGCCAAGTCCAGGTTGGGGATTCCTGGGGGTTTAGGGGTGGAGTCCAAAGAGGGTGGGGTTTGGGGTGGGCGGGTCCTCGGCAGGTTAGAATGCCATGGAGTCCACCCTCCCAAGCAGCCATTTTCTTCAGGGGAACTGGTCTCCGCCATCTGATATCTGAAGAAGTGAGCAGTGACTCAGGAAAGCTCCTGCCCTGCCACAAATGTTGTTAGTCTTTCTTACACGCCCAGGGAAATGCCGATCGCCACATTGGGGTCAGGAAGCAACTGTTCTCCAGGCCTCTTTGGCCGGGGATCCTGGAGGTTTTTTGTCACCTTCCGGGCGTGGGGTGTGGGGGGGAGAGAGATCTGCGAATCCCCTGCATTGTGCAGAGGGTTGGACTAGATGACCCTGGAGGTCCCTTCCAACTCTACGATTCTATGACCACAGGTGCTCCTCCTGGACTCTTGCTTATTTCATCTGGAGATCAGCTGTCGTTGTGGGAGATCTCCAGGACTTACAGAGACGGGCGACCTTAGCTTGCTCGCCTCCTTCCCCACCCGTCTCCCTCCTGCTCAGATTTTTTTTTAAATAAAAAAACATGCCCGAGAATGCTCATTTCCCCTCCTCTACGTTCCCGATGCCAAGCCTCCCTCCCCCCCTGCACCCACCTCCTTCCCGCTGCACGAGGTAATTGAGGTGGACGATATCCAGGATCCGCTCCAGGTCAGCCGTGGTCTGCCCTTTCTGGGCCATGTCTTCCGCGGTGTCGGGGTAGATGACCTGGTCCCGCAAGGTCCCCACCGACATGTACGGCCTAAGGCGGGGGGGGGGGGGGGGGGGGGGGATGGCCAAACAGGTCAGTCAGAAGATCACCTGGCGTTTAGAATGTCCCAAAGACTCTCTCGCTGCCCGATCAATAGCCACAGTTCTAATGTCCTGGCCCCACTGCTGGACCTCCTGAGGGCACCTGGTATTTCTGGCCACTGTGTGACACAGAGTGTTGGGCTGGATGGGCCTTTGGCCTGATCCAACATGGGCGTCTCTTATGTTCTTATGTTCACAGTGCCCAAATCAGACACGAGGGATCTTAGAACACATTCTATGATGAGTGGTGTGTGTGGGGTGGCATTTTGGCACACATCCTCTTGGCATTGCGTACAACGGCCCCACCGTATGGTAGATGGCTATTATTAAATCCATTTTGTTGATGGATTGATTGAAAACGTTTTTATGGCACCTTTCCACCTGATCAAGGTCCCCAAAGTATTTAGATGATGATAATGCTGCGGTGGCTCAAGTGGTTAAGACGCTGAACTGCAGGCTGTGGGAGGTCGGTAGTTCAGCGGTTCGAGACCCGAGTGTGCCGCATGACGGAGTGAGCTCCCGTCTCTAGCTCCAGCTCCTGCCAACCTAGCAGTTCGAAAGCAAGACATTGCAAGTAGATAAATAGGTACCACTTCAGTGGGAAGGGAACAGCGTTCCGTGCGCCTTGGTGTTCAGTCATGCCGGCCACATGACCACAGGAACGTCTTCGGACAGCGCTGGCTCTTCGGCTTTGAAACAGAGATGAGCACCGCAACCCTAGAGTCGGACTCGACTGGCTTTCGAGCAAGGGAACCTTTACCTTTACTTACTACTACTACTACTTTCAATTTATCACCTGCTCTCCCTGAAACCAGCTCAGAGCGGGTAACAACAATTTATGAACAGTTTAAAACATTCTAAGCATTACAGTAAATACACTAGCGATGAAATAATTGCGACAAACAAAGTAAAATCAATAAAATACAACTACTCTACAGCTAGAAGGGGGTGTGAGCTCATACGGAGGGGCAATATATAATTATCTGATAACAAGGAAAAGGAGGTGGGAGTGAAGGGGGAGAGAAGAGAAGGAGGGGGAGGCCACTCCTAGGTGAAAACTGTCGGAAAGGAGCCTGGCGCGGCCCTCAACCATAAGCCCGGCGGGACGGCTCTGTTCTGCAGGCCCCGTGGAACGGTACCAAGTCCTGCAGGGCCCTGGTCTCTCCCGGGGCGGGGTTCCACCAGGCTCTGGTCGAGGACAGCCGGACGCTCTTTGGGCTGAGGACCACCAGCAGGTTTTGATCACTCGAGCCTTAACACTCTTTGGGGGGGAAAGGCAGTTCTCAAGGCATACTGGTCCCTGACCTCTTTCTCTCTACCCTCACAGCAACCCAGCGAGGCAGGCTGCCGCTATGCGACTGGCCCAGCCGTCACCTAGCGAGGTTCGTGCCCGAGTGGGGGAGCGGAGCCCGGACTGACGTTCTCACCGCTGGAGCGCACTACACCCACTCTGTTACTCCACTCCGTTACCCTGTTACTCTGCTACCCACTCTGTTACTCCCATTTCTGCTTCTTGTGCTCTCCCGTACTTAAGAAGGTAAAGGTAAAGGTTCCCTTGCTCGAAAGCCAGGCAAATCCGACTCTAGGGTCGCAGCGCTCATCTCTGTTTCCAAGCCGAAGAGCCGGCGCTGTCCGAAGACGTTTCCGTGGTCAGGTGGCCGGCATGACTCAATGCCAAGGCGCATGGAACGCTGTTCCCTTCCCACCGAAGCGGTACCTATTTATCTACTTGCAATTTCTTGCTTTTGAACTGCTAGGTTGGCAGGAACTGGAACTAGAGACGGGAGCTCACTCCGTCATGCGGCACACTCGGGTCTCGAACTGCTGAACAACCGACCTTCCACAGCCTGCAGTTCAGCGTCTTAACCACTTGAGCCACCGCAGCTCCACTTAAGAAGATCGAAACCTGTATGCGGCCTGTGACATAGGCAGCTGGAGAACCCAAACCACCGCCACTGCGCGTACAGCACTGGGAGCAGGACGAGGGTCGCCAGCTCCGGGTTGGGGGATTCCTGGAGGTTTGGGGGTGGAGCCTGTGGAGGGAGGGGTCTGCAGAGGGGAGGGGCCTCAGCAGAGTGCCCACCCTCCGGAGCGGCCGTTTTCTCCAGCGGAAACGACCCCTGTAGTCTGGAGACCGGCTGCGATTCCGAGAGAACTCCAGGCGCCACCTGGATGTTGGCGACCCCAAACGGAACCCAAGGTTTCTCTTTTTTTTGCTCGGCTTCTTTTTCTTGCAAAACTCCCGGACCCTGGCCCGCACCGTACCTCTGGGGGATGTAGAACATACGGTGGGGGGGGGGCTTGTAGAGGACGCCTTCGTACGTCGGCCACAGCCCCCCCAGGATCCGGAACAGAGAGCTCTTCCCGCAGCCGTTGGGGCCGGTGATCAGTAAGTGCATGCCCTCCTCCACCTGCAGGGGGCGGCGGGGAGCAGAAACGAAGAACCGGGCTTTACCTTGACCCTTGTAACGCCTCCCCTCGATCCAGCTCTGTGTCCACCCCCCCAAAAAAGAAGCCTGAGAAAGTATGATAGGTGTCTGAATTAGGTGCCAAGAAAGACACTCTTTTTTAAAAAAAAACCCACAACTTTTTTATTTTATAACAGCCAAACAAACATATAGACACACGAACATATAGTTGGGGATTAATTTACATCCATATTATATCTAATTATTAACCTCATCCATTAACCAGTTGTTATTTGTACTTTTTCACACCTTATAGTTTATCTATAAAAAATCCTTTGCATGCCATAAAGCATGTAATTCTTGCAAAACTCCCGAACCTTCTATTTTGGTTATATGCCTGTGAAAATCAGATATTATTTTCTCCGACCCATTTATAAAATTTGGACCCCGCATTTTCAAAGGCTACTCCAATCTGTCCTCCCAAGGGTGAAGTTAAATAGGTGCCAAGCAGTGTTCCCTCTAAGCTGAGTTAGTGTGAGCTGGCTTACAGTTTTTTCAGCCTCCAGCTCACACATTTTGGTCTTCGCTCAGGAAGGAGGGCTCCAGAGCAAACTATTTTATGCAGTAGCCAAATCGCTCGGTCACAGCTTTAACACCAGTAACTCACAAAATAGGATTTTTTGCTCACAGGGCTCCACAGCATAGAGGGAGCACTGGTGCCAAGACACTCTTGCTCAGGCAACCTGCCAAGACATGCCGCTCCTTTGGGACTCTGGCAGGGACGGCCGAGCCACGTAGGAGATGTGTTATCTCTCCTCCCAACTTATCCCTGCGCACAGGCTGGATTCCCAGGTTTTTTTTGTTTTTTTAAGCTGTTCTACACAAAAGATAACAGCTGGTCGGGCAGGGAGCGAGGCCTTATCAGGGCGCCCCCCCTGGCCTCTCTCACCTACCCTTGAAACGGGCAGAGTCAGCAGTGGCAGGGACTCTTGATCTCGACCCCGCTGGCCCGGCGTGCCGCGTATCTCCTGCCCCTCTGCATTCTGGCCTGCAAACTGCTCGCTGGCCCAGCCTCCCTGCCTCCCTTCCCGCCCCCTGCAGAGCCCGGGGAAAAAGGACCCGGCGGGATTCAGTCTCAGAACTAAGACGGCTGTAATCACGAACAGAGTGTATGCAGAGTGCAAATCTTTTGCTTACAGTACGGGTCCC